GGTTCGGCCTTATACTTTGCTAAAGGTCTGTATTATACGTACCAGTATGGGCATGCTTCCGTGACACTTTTTGGGACTCCGATGGATGGGTTCCTTTACTCCATATTGCTATTGTGTGTTTGTTCTACTCAAAATTTCCTACGGCGGTTCATTCCGCCAAACAATCGCCGGACCTTCGAAATTTCATATAAAACTAAGTTGAAGACGTATCTTTGTGACTGCAATACTACTCCGGAGTACAATCAATCTTTTTAGCCGATCATATTGAAACCTTCATTATTTGTAGCCAATCATACTACTTTGCTCGAATAGTTGGCGATTTCATGAATCCCCCAAAATAGGCAAATTTGACTGAAACGGACAATAATGGTGTTTCTTAAGGAGGATAATTAATCCAGTTCGTAGGACATCAAATCATGCCATTGGTGTTGATGGAAAATAAACTAAAAGAATTAAAATATCCAAAGGCTAAAAACAGTTCCAAGCCACTTGATTTTATCCTAGGTGTCCGACTGTCGAGTCGAAGGTGCGGACGGTTAATTGAGTTTGGATTATTATTTTAAGATATTCCTCCGCGAGGGCCGAAACTATTAATAGAACCACATGTTGTGGAACCGTTTCGCCAATTGTACCACGTCTGCTCGACCTGGGGCGGTTTGAGTTAAGAAACCGATGCTCTACCACCTGAGCTATTCCTCCCGGTTGTCACTTTAGCTCACTGTACATCGGGGTGTATTTGACTTTTAACCCAACAATTCTATCAACCTTGTGATTCTACTGCTGTACAGTATTTGTTCCTAAATACCAATAAATAGTGTGGTATCACCTGAGCGGTAACCGCCGAAGTAGCGGATTGACCGAAAAGTGCAGGGGATTTTTTGACCAGAAACCGTGGTAACTGTGATGTTGACCAAGATGGCGCAGGACGGTCTGGATTTGGGTTCGCTCGTCGACCAGCGTCGTAGGAAGCTGTAGATGCCGACGGACTTGCATAGACCACTGCAGGAGGACGAGCTCTAGCATGACAGGGATATAGGGACCAGCTGTACCTTCGTATTTGACCTTCTTACGATAGATCCAGAGACGTGTCGCATTAGCTCATTGTCATTGTCAATGGAGGTTTATTAGAATTTTAACCGGATATGATTCCTAACTTAATATTGCCTTCTCGCGTTATCCGGCTGATTGGGCTCACTCGGGGGGGGGGTGTTGGTTGTGTTTGGTTATTTAACCGAACCGCGGGTCCTCTTCATCCGGATATCCCTTCTTTTCAGGTGTCGCGTGACGGTTTTTGAATTCACCCCTGTCGCATTGTCGCATTAGCTCAGTTGGTAGACACCCCTGTCGCATTAGCTCACTGTACATCGGGGTGTATTTGACTTTTAACCCTACAGTTCTATCAACCTAGTGGTACAACTGCCGTACAGTATTTCCTAAAATAAATAGAGCGATGTTCACTTGAGCGGTAAGCGCCTGGTCAAAGGATTGACCGATAAGTGGAACGGATATTTTGTCCAGAAACCGCGGTAGCTGGGGTCTTGACCAAGGCGGTTCAAGATGGCTTGGAAGCGGTTTCGTCCATCGCCGAGTGTCGACGGTAGCTGAATGTGACGGCGTACTTGGGCCGACCAGTTGAGCAGAACAAGTTCCAGCACGGACGGTATATGGAGGTTGTTTGCGCTTTCGTACTTCACCGTGTTGCGGTAGATCCACAGGCGTCTCAGCACGCCACCGGCGAGCATCGTCCACAGTACAATGAGCTCTGTGGCCACATGGGACCAGTCTTGGGCAGGTTGTAGTTTGGTATATCCAGAATGTAGGTCCATTCGAAACTCAGGCCAAATTGTAGCCAAGGAGCGGACACGATGTCCCAAAGCGGCCTGACGTGGGAGCAGGTGCGCAGGGCATGTTGGATAGTTTCTACGGCGTGGCAATCTCGATAGGGGCATTGTATGCAACTGGGATTTACTAACTGCATGTAGTAGAAGCAGTAGCCAACCGGCAGGACACGGTATTGCAGACGGTTCCAAACATCAGCCAGCATGGGAGTGGCGACAGCGACAGAGCGTCGGAACAGTTTAAGGTACGTTGCCACATTCTCCATAGTGCCGTGTGTACTTAGCATGGGGTGGTTACGGGTGGGTTTGGGTGGGTTATAACACGCCCATTTGATTTGTGCCGACCATTCCCGAAATTCCGTTATTGTATCCTGGTAGGACGCGTTAAACGGAAGACGCCAAGGGAGCTCGAGTGGTACGGCATGTGTAAATTCATGGCCCGCGTAATCATAGACTTGCTGTGCGATGGTGGTAAGTCGGCGGTATACTGGTGCCAGGGAGTATGGTACTGGTCCATTATACTCCAATCGTCTTATTGCAGGTACAACGATGTCGTCGAACTCGTCGGCAGTTGGCCACGTACGAGCAGGGGTAAGGAAATCCCTTAGACAGTGTAAACCCGATCTCATCATGTGTTTGTACCACTCCTTGCCCTTATGGCGATGGGCCGCCTTCGTGCGAGAGGACGCGGAATAACGGGTTAGTTTGACGCCAGACCGGCATCTCACATAGTTGTGCCAGTGTAGGTTTTGATTGGCTGCGTTTATCCACTGGAAGGCACAGCCATGTTTTCCAGACATATTCCATAGCGGAGACACCATGGTGAGGCGGTGGGCAGCGCTGCGCGAGTTGGGTCGATAGTGCAAGAAATCGAACCGATCCGGTCGATTACCCGGTTCAAGTGCTGCATCAAACATTCCGTGTGCTAAACATGCCCACTGATTGTCTGTTTCTGTAGGTGATCGCGTTAACAGGCGCAAGCGGGCAATCCGTTGCGATGCGATGATGGACGAGATATGAGGTACTCGCCACCCTACTGACTTATCGTATTGATGTGCCGCTTGCATCAGTGATACAGTCTTTTGTGTAGGGTCGACAACCCTATTCTGGATGAATTTGTTCACCAGCGATTGCCAGGCTGCGATCTGTTTTGGCGGCACGACCACCGCTGCCGTGAAGTGCCACAAGATAGACAGGATAACTGTCTGGACCAGCAGGCGTCGGCCGTTCATTGTGCGCGCGCGACAACCCCAGATACGAAAGGTTTCGTATAGTTTATCCGTGAGTCTGTTAACTTGGTATCGCGCTGGTAGGTTGTGTCCCAACAAGATGCCGAGGTAACGAATCGGCCGACCCGACGCGGCGAACGACAGGCCATGGACGAACGGTATTGGTTGGTTGGAGTTCAACACCAGAATCTCCGTTTTGTCTATGTTCAGTTTGGCTCCTGACACGGTGCAGTACTGGCTGACTAACTCCAGTTGCGCTTGTAGGTGAGCAATGCGCCCCGCCAAGAAGGTCGTGTCGTCGGCGAACATCAGCGTCGTCGCGGTATGGTCCATGGTTAACTCTATTCCATACTCCTCGTGATTGTGTAGGAGTTGGTTGAGTGGCTCGAGCGACAACACAAAGAGCAGCGACGACAGCGGGTCGCCCTGTTTCACCCCGCGATTGGGATGTGTCGGCGTCGATTTGATCCCGTTGATTCGTAGGTGTACCAATGGATTCGTATACAACAGTCTAATCCATGCGATGAACTTAGGCCCAAAGCCGAACGTGTCCAACGTGTCAAACAGGTAGGTCCACGAGACACGGTCGTATGCCTTGGCAAAGTCCAGGAAGGCAGCATATCCCTCCTGGTTGCGCACTGTGCACGTGTGTTGTAGGTCTAACATGAACACTGTGTGGTCGTGTAGCCGCTGCCCGTGGACAAAGCCCTTTTGGGCCGGCAGCACGAGTCGTGGAAGTAGCGAGGACAAGCGGTGAGAAAGCGCACGACAGAGGATTTTGACTTCTACAGGCATCAAGCTAATCGGTCTGTAGTTGCCAGGGTCGGCTCGGTCGTTCTTTTTGAACAGCAGCACTACCTCACTGGTACGTTGACATTTCAAAAGTATGCCCCGATTCAGTTGGTAATTGAAGACAATGGACAGGATTTCTCCAAACACCGCAGGAGCCACCTGGTAGAAGCAAGCGGAAAACCCGTCTGGGCCTGGTGTACGATGTGGCGCCATTGTTTCAATGCTGCGTTGTAGTTCTGATCCGGTAATGTCCTCCTCCAATGCCTCCCAATCCTCCGCTGTCAAACGTTTTTGTAGGACTCGCAGGAAGCGCGGCGGCGGGCAGCGCGATTCGGTGGGGCGGGATCGTCGTCACGCATGACGCGTGTCCAGTGGTCCACGAATTCACGTTGAATGGCGTCCGGGTCCGTCGACACTGTTCCATCGCGTTGATTCACTGATCTAACTGGTGTTTTGTAGAGCAGTTTAGTCGCTGGGCGGAAGAAATGGGCCGTTGAACGCTCATTCTTGCCCGCATGCACGTCGAATTTAAGGTCAGAGTAGTACAACTTCCACAAATCCTCTGTCTCAACGTAGATTTTCTCTTCCTCCGCGAGATTCTTGGTCTGTAGAGTGACCTTCAGTGTGTAGGCGCCGCGCTTCGGTCAATCGCCCTGCGGCGGTCGCCTTTTCCCGCATGTAGTGTGATCTGACAAAGCGATGGGCGTCCTGCAGGAACCGCCGGGTTCTCTTCTTCCAGGCGTGCCACACGACACCAGGATTATGTGCGGTACGAATGTAATGAAGTAATCGCGATGCCT